CTTCAAATAAGCATCACATCAATAATATAAGAGGTTCACATAGTTTTCACATAATTTCTAAAATTTTTTGTTGGGGCATTCCTTATCGTTGCATCATTATCCACATTACAACCGCTTCCTTGAGTGGAGTCCGATCACGGCCCGATCAGCTAAGTCGTCTTACCAAGACGTTACTCTTATTTCATTCTCGTTTTTCAGTTTCAATTATCAATACATTACCACCATATGTGTATAACATGGCGTCCGATATGGCCCGATCGGCTAAGTCGTTTTACCAAGACGTTACCCTTTTCCATTAATCATCTCACTTCAATCTTTGGATTCATATGAATTAGTTTCTCGGCACTTGGGACCACAATTACCACATTCCATAACTCACATTTTGCATTACTCCCATTTTCAACATTTATCTTGCCATTTAGGATCATAGGCACATACAAAAGCAATTTAAGTAATAAACATAAAGAGAAATTCATCTAGTTCGGCATATTAATCACAATGTAACCTTGACTTGACATTTAGGCATTTAGCACATAGCTCATGTTTTTCCACACATCCTCAATTTAAAAAGAATAATACACTAAACACATAGAGAAGCATCTTCCACATAGATTTTCACAACATCAATTTCTCTGACATAACAAGTACCACATCAATCGAATTTCGGGCTTACAACATTTGCACGAGCACCATGGAGGCTCAATTTCTTAAATGAGGGGGTTTTAGCCATACATTCCTTGTTTAAGCTTTTCTTAAGTTACTACGACGTTCCGGAAATTCTAGCAATCCCAATCTACTTGAGACATAACAAAATTAAACACAAATTAGGAAGGTATTCATGGTTTCAGCTCATTGGAGCATTTTATCAAATACTAGTTAAGCATATTGATTTCAAATCTCTTTTACAATATTTCCTTCATTCCCCAACCCAATCTTTACTTATTTATTTTTAACAATCTTCCCACAAACCTAATTTGTACATGCATGTATACATAATACTATTACACCCAATAATCATACCTCAATAACCCATCTCACAATCTCTACAACACCAACACAACCTAGGTTAGGCACCTATGGCTTCCAATCACCTGTCCATGAGTTCTAACGTATATATCATACATAAATAATCACCATAGAGTAGTTAGAGATGATAGAAATACCTCTTGTAGTAAGAATATTGAGAATCCCCACTTGGAGTGTTCTTGATCAATTTAGGGATTTGAATGGGAATCTATGGATTTTCAAGATCAATCCTTGTTAATATAAGTGTTTAGAGGTAGTAATCAACTCAAAATACTCCAGAAACATTACCTTGGATCATAAGAGGGAAGTATGGGACGGATTCCCCTTGATAGAGCAAGCCCTAGCTCAAAAAAATGACTTAGAGACTCTCCCTACCCGGTCTTGGGGTATTTACAGGGCTGCTCGGAGGCAGAAACCTTCTGTTTTCCCGCGGCCGTGCCGCGGACGCGCGTCTGACACAGGTCCGGTAATTTGGTCATAACTTTCTTTATACACCTTAAAATGACAAACGGTTTGATGCATTAGAAACTAGACTCAAAGAGAGTTAATTTGATAGGTTGTGCATCACACAACACCTTATATAAATGTAGATATGATTGTCCAAAGTGAGGTCTTGTGTGTACTCATTTACAACTTTAGACTATTATGATATTTCCAACTTGGCTTAGACTTAGGCCTCTCCTTAGACCCAAAATCACTTATAATATGACTTATACGCTTATTAACATATACAATCAATACCCATTATATCATGAATCCTCATTTGCACGCAAAATAAAATAATTAGTCTACCTTGGCACTATGAAATCTTAAATTACTTAGCAAACTTTTCTGGGGCTTTACATTCTCCCCCGCTTAGGATCATTCGTCCTCGAATGAGGATCAAGATTCATTCATTAGCCATCCTTATGTAACTTCATCTTTTTCACATCATGAATTATATAAACAGCCCCGAATTTGGCTAACTCCTCAAATTTCCGAATATTTCGCCATAGTTTCCTTTGTAACTATGCCTATCCACCTGTCAGAGGGTTCCAGATACATATCCTAACAACATATACATGTTCCATAGGCATAACATAACTTGTTCAACACCAACCATGGCCGCATAGGCAACATATATAACAAAAATGGAATAGTTTAACATAGATCAAATCAAAAGATAAGAGTTCATAGGAACTAAATGCGTAAAAGCTATTACATGACTATTCAAACAAATGTGGGTACTTCTTTCTCATTTCTTCCTCGGCTTCTCAAGTGGCTTCCTTAACCTTCTGGTTCCGCCATAACATTTTTACGGAGGCAATTTCCTTATTCTCAATTTTCGGACTTGCCTATCAAGGATGGAAACTGGAATTTCTTCGTACGATAATTCTGCATTAACCTCAATAGTCTCAACTGGCATAATAGTGGACGGATCTCCCACTGCTTTCTTCAACATAGACACATGGAAGACCGGGTGTATCAATGACATCCAGAGTGGCAGCTCGAGCTTGTATGCCACCTGACCAATCCTCTAAATGATTTTGTACGGTCCGACATACCTCGGACTCAATGTTCCATTCTTTCCAAACCGCATGATACCCTTCATGGGCAAAACCTTCAAAAATACCCAATCATCTTCTTTGAACTCCAAATCTCTGCGACGAATGTCCGAATATGACTTTTGTCGACTCTAAGCAATTTTCAACCTCTCCTTAATCATTTTGACTTTCTCCATGGCCGGATGCACAAGTTCTGGCCCTATCAATTCATCTTCTCCAACCTCGAACCACTCAATGGGAGATCTATATCTCCTACTATAGAATGCTTCAAATGGTGTCATTTGAATACTAGCATGAAAGTTGTTGTTATAAGCAAACTCTATGAGTGGCAAATGATCATCCCAGCTACCTTGAAATCAAGCACGCAACATGTCCTCAAGCGACTGAATAGTCCGCTCCGCTTGTCCATCGGTTTGTGGATGAAAAGGTGTACTAAGATTTACCTGCGTACCCAAACCTTCTGAAATGTCTTCTAAAAATTGGTCGTGAACTGAGCCACTCGATCATAAATGATAGAAAATGGGGTTCCATGCAACCTAACAATTTCTTTAATTTACAACTAAGCACACTGCCCTGCTGTGTCAGTAGATTTGACTAGCAAGAAGTGCGCTGATTTCATGAGTCGATCCACGATTAGCCAAATTGAGTCGAACTTGCGCAGAGTGTGTGGTAATCCTACCACAAAATTCATATTGATCATTTCCCATTTCCACATTGGGATTTCTACAATTTGTGCCAATCCACCAGGCCTTTGATGTTCGGCCTTCACTTGCTGACAGTTCAGACATTTTGCCACATAGTCCACCACATTCCTTTTCATGTTATTCCACCAATCAACTTCCTTGAAATCATGATACATTGTTTTTGTAGAACCTGGGTGAATGGAATACTTAAAACTATGAGCCTCAACCATGATTCTTTCCCGAATATCATCTATATCTGGAACACATAGCCGCCCTTGGTACCGTAGTGTACCATCATCCATGCCAAGAGAGAAAAACATTGTGGTCTTATGTTCATGAATCCCCTCCTTCAGTTGCGCTGACAATGAATCGTTATATTGCTTTTCTTTCACTTCCGCCACAAGCGATGATTCAGCCCTATTCTGCACAATTACTTTTCCTTCATTAGTGTCCGCAAGGCGAACTCACAAGCTAGCCAACTGGTGAACCTCCCTGGCCAACGGCCTCTGATATGCCTCCAAATGAGCCAAGCTCCCCATAGATTTTCAATTAAGAGAATCTACTACAACATTAGCCTTTCTCAGGTGATAGAGAATATCAATGTCATAGTCCTTGAGTAACTCTAGCCATCTTCTTTGTCTCAGATTCAACTCCTTCTATTTGAAAATATATTGAAGGCTCTTGTGGTCCGTAAATACATCCATATGGACCCCATACAAATAATGTCACCAAATATTTAGTGCAAACACCACTGCCTCAAGCTCTAAGTCATGTGCTGCATAGTTCTTTCCATGATTCATGAGTTGCCTAGAGGCATAAACTATCACCTTAACATGTTTCATCATTAGTGGAACATCTTTATCATATTTCTCTTACATAGGACCTCCGACGAATTGAGTTCTACAATAATTTCCCTGATATGGTTACAATCTCCTATGAATACTTGCAACTAACTCTTCCAAATTCTCAACAAAAGACATTACATAATGAGTTTTTTTTTTCATAGGACCTTCTGTCTCAAATGAATAACAACTGCTAATTGCACATACCTTGATAACATCAACCTGCACGACATTACATCAAATGTAAGGTAATATTGCTCCGACTTTTCTTAGCCAACCTCTTCTCCCCATATGTGCCTTTTAGAATTTAAGAAACCACACTACTTCCCTTGTGAATATTCTCACGATCCGTCTTTATGGTTAAACACTGCGCAAAACATATATCAACCAACACCCTTTATATGTATAAAATTTAGGGAGAATCACTGACCCGAGAAGGACATTTTCTGAAACATAAGATCCTCCTCACTTCTTCAACAACAACTTTTGATTTTTCTCTTAAGTGTAAGACTTAGTCCACCTGATTCTAACCTCGATGAGTAACTCACCTCATTCCCCGTATTGTAGCTACTAATAGAGTTCCCTGATATTACGGTTTAATAGTTACCATGTTAAACATGTCTGGTCTGTAACAAGTGTTCATCCTCTTTCAATCTATTTTGAACCTTTCATTTCCCTTTGGGTAGATTGTGTTGTCTTTCCCCCTTTTTATCGCCCTTTGGCCTGGACAATATGTTGGTACCATCTTTTCCTTCTAACTGGAAGATTCATTCCCATTCTATTTTGCTCATAGCGCATAATTGATAGCCTTATTGTGCCACACACTTGTTACCTCCCGTGAACTTGTAATATCATTGTACCTAGTTTAGTGAGTTTATCATACCACAACTTCACCTCTAATAGTCTTACTTTCCATTGTATATAGACATGAACTATCTCTAGATCATTTAGTTGATATTCGGTGTCACCCAAGTCGGTTCCATTACGGTTAGTCCTTTATAACTTTTATTAATATGTATGCTCTAAGCGAGTCCACCATTCTGATACAAGATATTTTATGATAACCAAGACAATCTAAATTTATAGGTTTTCTCCCCATTTCTTCTCACCTCATTCTTCCTAGCTAGTGAATAACCATGCACTCTTTAATATGTTACGTGGTCTTTTGCCTTAGTTATTTCATCATGCTCACCTCTTAACTCCTGTGAGGATATCCGTGGGAAAGTGTGTTCATCCGCATATCACTTAACACTTATTTCTTGTAAGATTTTTTTTGAGGCTCTCCATCAAGCCCAAATACCCTCTTGGGTTATTAGAGCATCACATTTATTTCTCCCACTCGTTCCACATATATAGGGTTGTTTTGGTGAGTGTTAGGAACCTGGGCGTAGTGGTGGTCGTTGGTTGAGTTTTGAGGATTGGGGATGGGTTGTAGTGTGTTTTGGGGAGTATGATAAGTAGCGGTTGGTGGGACTCGATTTGTTGATAGTGGTTTTGTTACGAAGTTGGTATCGGTAAGGGATTGAGATTTTGAGGTGGAGTTACATATTCATTTGGCGGGGGAGGGTTTTGTGGATGCTGGTTTGGTGTGTTATGGTGAGGCGCTGGATTTTTGGTGTTTTGTTGGTTGATATAGGGGACATTCAGGGTGAGGGATAGGTTTGCCCAGTTGCAAACCTGCTCAAGCTCTCCCTGCAACTTTAGTATCTTTTGTTCCAACCTCAAAACTAAATCATTTGGTGCCGGAGTACTCCGACCGTCTAAAGTTTCCACATTCTCAGCATTTTCCTTTCTAATACCACTTAAGTCATCCATTTTAGCCTTACCTTTGCTTCTTGTATTAGTTGGAGGAGGAGGAGGTGGAGGGCCTCTAGATCTGGTGTGATTTACCGATGATGCTAGTATGTGGAAACCAACCTTGGGGGAATAAAGAAAAACAAAAGGTAATCTAGTTAGTAAGGGTTCTGAAATGTTTGCAGTATTGAAACAAATATTGTAGGAATGTAAATTCGTATTCTAATTTGGGAGCCTCATTATTTCCGAGGTAGGCCTAGCGACAGATAGGTTTGGAGAAATTCAGTGCCAATAATTGCCTCATTTCATTAATGTAAAAATAAACGACCCAAAACGACACTAAAGAATGTTACTAATGGCACTTGGCCTTGTTACATTTAAAAGAAAAGAAAGTAAACCTAATCTACTTGGTCCCAAAAGGACCCTCTCTAGACCGGGTGCTATTCTTGATCAACTCTCCCAACTCGTGCAGGTTTAGCAGTAAGAATGCCTTTGCCAAATTCCCTCCTTTGTTTCCTTTAGCGTTCTGGCAACCAGTGACTCTATTTCTTATATTCCCTTCTAATTCCATTAAATTGTACTCCAGATATTCCAGCCTTTCATTGTATGTAATAGCTCTCTCTTTCCACTCATCAATCATTTCCATATCGGCCTTATGTTGCGCCATATGCTCATCTTCAGACTCTCAAACTCTTTTACGCAGCTTGTTATACTTCACCTCTACTTCAGCAAACCCATCTATGACCCTGTTACCTGGACCAACCCTTGGCTCAAAGATTTCTGATAGATTATCATCAAACCATGAAGGGTAAAAGTATCATGGCCAACATGATATCGGTCCGACTCGATGGTATCCCTCTCCATAATAATCTTCAAAGTTCACATATGTTGTGCTTCATTCTTATATAGGATGGTGTCACCCTGGAAATCAACTATGAAGTAACTCATTTTAGCGACCCGTGGTATGACCTGTCTCTTATCTTGCTGTCTCATAACCCTGAGGGGAGCATAAGGGTATATCCCCCTTAACCCAACCAGCAACAAATATGGGACGTCTCTGGATCTAATGATGAACTCGTCGGTGGGGAACCACTCGAACATCTATTGAACCTGGTCCTTAGTCAACTTGTTGAAGAACTGCACCTATCATATAGCATCATTAGGTTGAGGAAACATGTCCGGAATGTAAGTCATTCTCTTAGGGTGATGGAAAGCTATGTGGTCATTCCACGACCTTCGTGGAAACTCTTGGCGGTATTGACCCCTTTGGAGATGTTCTAACAACCAAACTTATAACAACAAATTGCAACCCTCAAAGAATCTGGACCCCTTCTGACAGTGTTCCAAGTCCCGGTACATATCCGCAATGATCATAGGAACAATAATATATGTCCGTCCCTTGATCCCGTTGATCATAGTTTTGGCCTCCAAGGACAGCATGGTACGGATTCTATCCCTCTAGATTGGTAATACCAGCATGCCCAAGAAACACAAAATGAACACGAAGACCCTACGATGAACCCAGCCCATGGAGGTGATTGAGAACTCATCATCAAAAATATAGTAAGAGCTACTGTGACCGTATCTTTCATAGAGGAAGTCAAAAGGTATGTAGGAGTTCTTCAGGCACTCCAAATCATCATTTTTCTTCAGCCCCATAATCTTAAGGAACCCTCTAGCGGTGCGATTTTCAGGTGCTAACAGACTAGTGCTATACCAAGGCAACACAACAAATCATCCTATTTCTTCTAGAAGGGGAGTCATTTCTATGTCCCCAAAGCGGAACACGGCCCTTTCCTTGTCCCAAAACAGAGTGGCAACCTCAATCAACATTTTATTTGGTTTAAGATCCAACAGTGAAGGCAAATTCCCTAAGACTCATTTCACATTATTTTGGTCACTTGAGGGAAGATCCCTCAACCAATCTAGAAAAAGTGGAGGTATGTTACCGAGCATACCAAATATGGGGAATCCGTGTCTCATTTTTATGCAAAACAAAAGATAGTTAAGCCCTTCAACCTCCAGGTTTGTCTATTTATATAATAAAGATTACCATATTGGCACTTATTTCTCTAAAAATAATTCACACAATCGTGGGTGCATCCGTTGGGATTATGGAAAACCCAATAGACTTTGGGACGAGGCTCGTCTTAAAGGGCTATTATGCGGACAACATACTACCCTGGCTAGGTTTGACCATGATGCATGCACAATTAATCAGAGTAAAGTTGCTATAGAGGTCTAGACAGGGACCGTCAAGCGGACAACTTGAGGGGTAAAGGCACGCAACCATCGAAGGCACCGCTGATCAACTAGTTTTACTGCAAATACGCCTTTCCAAATTTAAAAAGGGTGATATATAGGAAGAACGCAAACAGTCATCAAGCATTGCTATAGTATTGATTACGCTCGAGCGGAATACAATGCTGAGCATTATTTATGCAACAATAAATAACATTTCTCAAGTATTTACACGTTAAAAAAAAATGATAAGTGCAGTATTTAAATAATTGAAAGACAGTTGCAAAAAAAGAAAACAAAGAGACAAGTGAGTTTCAGGAAATAAAGGAAATCATAAATGCTTGAAAATAAGCAGTTAAATCCAAATAAAGGGGAAGGGTGCATCGAATAAGGCATGCTTAAGACTAATTCACAAAAATAAGTTCGTTATGGTAAAAGCCTAAAAATATCCCCACAAGAGTCGCCATGTTGTCGCGCCTCCTTTTTCCTTCGCGGAGTCCGGGTTTCTACATTCATTGGGGAAAACTCGTTTCCTTTTGGGAATTGGGTATCTGAAGAGTCGCCACCTAACGGATTAAGGTGTGTTAGGGCACCTAGAGTAATTAACTCATGTAACCAGTTTGCATTACCAAAGATCAGGGTAAGGGCTAGAAATAACCTTGAGGGGAAGGTGTTAGGCACCCCTCGTGGTTCACAACGGTGGGTCCTGGCCGAACTTAGTTATGTGAATTAGTTATTTAACAAGCAATCAGCCTTAGCACATATTTGCAAATAAAGGTTGTTTACACAGTCTAAACAATCAAGAAAAGTTAGATGATCTAAGCATATGTAAATTAAGCAGGTGTGAACAGTCCAAGCATACATACATAAACCAAGGAAGTTTAGGCAGTCTAAGCGCACACATATGTGAGTTGGGAAAGGGAAGTCCTAAGTTGTTTAGCTTATAGGATCAATCTGTGCAATGCCTGGTAATCCTCCTCAACTAGAGGGGCTACACGTGACATTAGTGCGCAGGTCATCATATCCTTCTACTACCCATTACCCTCCCCATAGTGGTTATATAAGCGAGTTTAATTAACGAACTCTAAGCGTGCTTTAAACGTCCCTTCCTTGTGGTGCCGGAGGCGCCCTCTATACTTAGGAACTACTAGACACTCCTAAGGTATTTAAAAGGTAAAATCTAAACGACAATAAAGAACACATAGGACTGTCAAATAGGGAAGCAATTAAGGGCTGATGTTTGCCTCCACACATAAACAGATACATAGCACGTCTCAAACAACTGATTTTGAAGAAACTTAGAAAGCCTAGGAACATGATATCTAGATGAACATTACAGATAGAAAATATGCAGTATTTGTTTAAGAGCTGTATACGATGAAATCGGAGGGTCCAATTTCTCGTCATTAAGTCATTTCATGGGATCATCTTGAGACCTCAAGGTTGCGAGGTTGTGGTCGAGCTCCCGCCCTTGGGGTTCATTGACGCCCGACCTAACAACGATGTTGACCGCGGTCATGATGGGACTAGGGGATCCTATGAGGACCCATAAAAAATTTCCACCCTTAACCCAAAAGCTCGTAGTGCCAAGTTAGGATCATGCGTTAGAGATGCATAAACTTCTTCGCGACCTTTTTGGACTGATCTATGATATAAAAAGTCAAGAAATAATTTTTCCAAAAAATGTGATTATGCGGTCACATATCAGGTATGCAGACCGCATAATCACCGCAAAGTGAGTCAGTGTGTTGGTCAAATTTGAGGTCAACTATGCGGTGAAGTATGCGATTGCATAACCGATATGCGGACCGCATAGTCGTTACACATTTCCCTTGGGATTTTGTTAGGGAAAGTTCTGCGGTGCATTATGCGACCGCAGAACGGGTATGCAGACTGCATTTCTGCTGCATACCCAGGTAGTGTGTTCAGATTTTGGGAGCACTTTTGCGGTCCATTCTGCGGGCCGCATTTCCACTTTGCGATCGCAAATGCGATCACAGACCTAACTCGGGGCTACAGTTTTCGAAATTTTAAACCCGACCCCCTGTCGTTATATCCTGTTCAATAACTCAGGATCTTAGAGAGGGAGTGTTTCCCATCAAATTACTCCATGAATCCTTAGTAAATAATTGAAGATAATCAAGTGAGGGACCTAAACCCTCATCCCAAGAGGTAAGGCTTCATCACCTCAGCTCTCATTTTTACACATGGCTACAAAGGGTCATTAGTGAGGTAATTCATGGGGGTAAGGTGGGTTTGCATTGAATTCATGCATTCTTGAAGAGTATGAAGAATTATAAAAGAAGAGGCATGGGTAATGGGCTAGTGTAATCTTGCATAAAAAAACCATAAGGCCTTAATAAACACTAATTGCTCGGTAAAATGCTCAAGAGAGCTTAGATTATGATCTTTTCTTGATTATGAGTTAAATTGTGCTATATTGCTTAACTAGATTGAAGTATGAATATTCTTGTATGTTATAGGATTAAGGAAAGCTCGGTTGAGGTATGTATGGCTAAAACCTCATCTTTTAGAAATTGAGCTTCATCGATGATTGTATGAACATGGTAAGATTAAAGTTGAATTGTTTCATTGCTTGTTATTTTACATGAATTGGTGTTGTAGCCTTATATGTGAAAATTGTGTCTCAACATGATCAATGTGCTATCTTGACAACTTGAAAAGGGCAAAGGTATGAATTATGTATCGAAATGTTTAGACCCTAAATCGAGATTGCGGCTGAATAGGTTGTGCTATCTATGTGAAGTCATATCCATGCTTACAATTTAAAATTGTTCTTATGTGCACCTCCTTCCCCAAATGGCAAAGCTAATATTGGAATTGGGAATAATGTAAAATGCGGCTTAGTGCCAAGAATGATGTGATAAGTGGTGGCCCCAAGTGCCTATGAAATGATATATGAGAACTGAATTGATTTATGAGAAGGGAATAATGCATTGATGAGGCGACCTAGCCGATCGGGTCGAGATCGGACTCCGCTCAAGATAACGGTGGTATTGGAAAGGTATTGCGAATGAATTTCGGGAAAGAAGGAAAATGAGATTGTGATTGAAGTATATGTCTCAAATGAGGCAACCTAGACGATCGGGTCGAGATCGGACTCCGCTCAAGATAGCGGTGGTATTGTGAACAAATAATGAATAGTGTGAAATGCCCCAAACTAAAAGCTATGGGAAAATGATGTGAAAGTTGTATGATTCTTTTATTTGATAATGTGGTGATCGTTTAATGTTTTGAGTTACACTTGTGATTTCTTATTCTTGTATGAAAGTTCTTTCTAATTTGATGGTGTTTAGTTATACATACTAGTGCTATTCGATGGCACTAACGTCCCTTTTGCCGGGGGCGCTACATTTTTTTAAATGAATGTAGGTGGCTCCATAGCAAATAGTGCCGATTGTGTGT